ACCAAAAGTTTGAGTTTTAAAGTAGGATGAGAAGAGTGTCCTAGAGGTATACCTTGAGAAAAGGCTTTTGTATGTGATGATGCTTTTACCAGGCTTTATCGTAGGAAGAAATACAGCATTTAAACACATATTATCACTATCCATTTTTGCTACCTGACTTATAAAGCATCTGGAATCTGTGCTCCAAACTTTCCAAAGCCGCCCTATTATTTATTTATTCTGCCACCAGCTTTACAAAGTGTCTGTTTTTGTTTGTTTAAATGTTTTGGGGGGAGTGGCTGGTAGTTGCAGGTGGTCACTTGGACAGATAGAGACTCCTCATTTTTCTAACTTCCTGGCCTGTCCTCTAAAACTGTGCAGCTCTTCAGATCTAATTGTCCACAAGTTGGTGTTCTGGATTCTCCACAGGGCAATTGTGCAGGGCAGCTATTGCGGAGTAGCTTCCAGAATAAGACTGCCATTCTCTGCTTACCCCATGGAATAATAATTCTGGAATAAGAGTGTTCACCTGGGGAGCTATCCTGGAGTAGTTCTTGCACTTTAAATTCACACCCCACCTTATTCTGGAACAACTTTCCTGTGAAGACCAGCTCTCTAGATCCTGATTCAGCATTTAAAAGCACATGCCTGAGTCTCACTGAAGTCCGTTTAAACACATGCTTAAAAGCTTTTCTGAATCAGGGCCATTATTACCAAAATATCGAAGTTCTTTGAGTCCTGCTTTTCTCAGGTAGATTTGGACATCATTTGGGCCATATGGTTTTCGATGGAATAATATGGATTCTCTTCAGATGTGTAGCCAATAGAGAGCTACCTGGATAAATGTTTGTGTTTTTAATGTCTTCAAGCTGTACAAAGCTATCATGAAGATCTCTGACATTTCCTAGAAGCCTTAAGGCCACAAACAGATGTGGAAGGTACCTTGATTCAATATTTTCCAGAGGTTTTTCAGAAAAGGATCCATGAGAGAATTGATCCAAGGGAGTTGGACACCCCACTCCTATAGAAACTCAATGGGATTTGGACACCTAACCCCAGTGTGTTGTATATTGTATATCTGGAAAGTATTTATTTTCTGCTCTAAAAATTATTAGCACAGAGGTAAGTAGGACAAATATTGTCTTGGATGCATATTCTGGTAAATATAGGCGTTAGTCCCAAAGGGTTGGCTGGGAAGTGGGGAACAGCGTCATTTTACTGTGAATTTTCAGATTCATTTTTATGCATTTTTAAAAAAAAAGTACACAGGAAAGTTGCTGGATTGGAAACCGAATTTGTCCGGTCATCCATTAGCGCAGGTGCAACAGCGGCGCAAGCCGCTGCCCACACTACTCTGTCCCCCTGCCTCAAACCTATTATGGAGAGGGGCATTTAGTTCTTGACCCCTTGTGCAGACTGTCATCAAATATCCTAATCATTTTGCAGAGAGTTGTTTTTCATGTGAATCCCTGACTACCAGAACTGAACTGAGATCATCAAACAGCCAATAATAGACCGTGACAACTTTTAGTTACTACTGACCTGGGTTGAATTAGAACCAGCAATGCACATGTGGAAGGCTCTATAGTTCATCACACACAGACACACACACACACAAACACACACGCCACCTAAAAACAAACACTCAATGGGATTACTCGCATGGATAAAGTTAAACATGTGTATAAGAATTTGCAGAATTGTGACCTATGAGTGTGAACTCTTCCAGAGCAGGGACCATGTCCTTGTTTTAAAATCTCCAAAGCGCTGTGCCAAATCATGGCACTGTAAATGTTTATTAATATGACATAGTTATGTATACTGTGATGGTGTGGTAGAATGGTTTTATCAGCATGCATGGAAGATGCTGTTTGCTACAAGTGAGGTCATTGCACACGAGGGCCAGTAAAACATTTCTTCTATTTCTATTGTGTGTTCTGCAGATGGCATTAAAAAAAGTGATTTTGAAAATATTTGAGAGTTTGACTTTTTAATGGAGCTATTTTTTCATATCCCTCCACCTGTAAAGCCAGGTGACATGGTTACTATGGGTGTAATTCTCATGTACACCAAGGCCCCTAGACACTGCTGGAATGGTGTAAAGAGGCCTTAATGTAAATGAGAATTAGACCCATCCATCCAACTGCACAGTCCCCTGAAGGAGAGAAAAATGAATGATTATTAAATGTTAAAATCTTTTACAAAAGTACTTAAAATAGGTACAATACAAACGTCATGACTTCAGAGTCCAATATCTTATGCTGTTCCAGGACGAGAAACAAGTGTCCAGTTAGGGAGCATGCCCTTTAGCACAACATATAGCTCCTATTTCTATCCCTAAGGGCTCATGAGATATCAGACT